GATATATTTCCGTATGAAAAAATAATAATCCAAGACTAAGTTGAGTTAGATACACCATGAGTCATGTAATAACCCTATGCCTAGATCTAGCTAAGCAAAATTTATTTATCAATAAATAAACATTCCGTAAATGATTAGTTAAAATTATATAATAATTTTGTAGGTTGTAATGAGCATGTGTTAGCTTAGGTGTGTTACAACTGGATTAGATACCAAACATAGCCTAAAAATCGATTTCGGGTTAACTTTTATAACATTATTGTCCTAACTCTAGTTATTAGAGAATTGTTGCTTGATGGTCAAACTAGTTATTTATTTATTTGTATTAAATTATATATATAATCAAAATAAGAAATATGTATACAATTTTTTTTATATTTATTAACATTTTAAAATTTTAATTATGAAATTTATATAGTTCTCCTTAAAATATAACTAATGTCTACTCTATTAATATATTAAGGTACATTTACGTTTGAAAACATTATCCAATATTAGACTAGGCATGCGCTGTGCTTTTAGCCTAGAACTTGCTTAAAAGAAGTGAAGTGTTAATTATTAATTTAAACTTTATATTTAAAATTTTAAGTTTTAATTTTATATTTGTTAGACTTATTTATTTTGATAATTTATTTAATTATATTTTAATTTATTTGAAAGAGAAAAATAGAATCTAAAATTTATTTTGATGATTTATTTAATTATATTTTAATTTATTTGAAAGAGAAAAATAGAATCCAAAATTTATTTTGATAATTTATTTAATTATATTTTAATCAAAATTTATTTTGATGACTTATTTGAAAGAAAAAAATAGAATCAAAATTTATTTTGTCCCATTATTTCTTACCTAAACCTTTATCCTAAATGTTGTTAGAATGTATTTAATATTTGATTAAACAAGCAGTTCAAACAGCCCAAAACAAAGGTTCAAACAGCCTAGCACAACAGCAGGGCAAAAGGTTCAAAAGGTTCAAGTGAAAGATTTTCAAATTAGTAATGATAGAAGTACAACGGCTATAAAGGTTCAAAAGGCTAAAAGGTTCAAGTGGAAGATATTCAAATTTGTAATGATGGAGTGGAAGATATTCAAATTGATAATGATGGAAGTACAACGGCTGTAAACGGCTATACACTACAAGAAAAAGTACCTTTGGCGACTAAATTTTTAGTCGTCAAAAGTCCATTTTTAGTCGCCAAAAGTCAACTTTTTAGTTTCCCCGACTAAATTTTTTAGTCGCCGGTTTTGTCGCGAAAACATGGTCGCCGGAGGTATTGGCGACTAAAAAAGTTTTAGTCGGCAAAAAATAGGTCTTTAGCGACCAAAGTTTTGGTCGCCAATAGTCAATTACACTTTTTAAAATTATACATTTAGCGACTAATCTTTTAGTCGCCAATAGTCAATGAATCGCCGACTAAACCGTTTAGTCGCCAAAAACAGGTCTTTAGCGACCAATAATTTTAGTCGCCAAAGGTTGTTCCGTGAAAAAAAAAATACTAACTTTTTTGCTTTTTCTAAGATTTAAACCACCAACCTTCCACATTTTAAACCTTTAGCAACACACTCTGGGTGTGTTTGATTGGGGGGATAAGGGGGGGGACTATCCACTATTTGGACTCCATGTCCGGCCTCCCTCCTTATCCGTCGTTTGATTTTTTTTTAGTCCAGCGGACTCCATGTCCGGCCGGACTCCATGTCCCCCATATGGGGGACTATCCTGTCCTGGGGGGTGGGACAGAAAGTGGGGGACGAATCACTGTTTGGATTATATGCGAAAATGATCATTTTGACCCTCTACTATTTAATTATGTATTATATTTAATAAAATTCAATAAAATTTAAATGTCTCAATTTAAAAATAAAATAATTTATTTAACATTTTATTTAATGTTTTATTTATTTAATTTTTTAAAATAATTTTATGACTTTTTTAGTCAAAAAGTCACTAAAAAATCAAAAAGCCAACAATGGAGTAATAGTGCCTACCTTTTTGTTTATTGGTTTGTTCTGTTTTTTTTTTTTTTTTTTTCCTGGGAATCATTCCAATTTCAAAATTTATCTCTTCTGTAAATTTACTTCACATTGAGCCTTTTATGGATTGCATCACTTAGCAAGATAGTAACTACTACATCTCATTTCCAAATCGTGGCCAAATGCCTCCATGAGGACATACACCTGCTAACATTGCATTGTAAGTGGCCATTTTATTCTTGCTATAATAATATAGGACATGGTTTGAAAAATCTTTTGCTACCTTCTCATAGATTATACTGTACGTGCTTCATCCATCTAGGAGAACATTTTGCCAATAATAAATACTAGTTAATCACATTTATAAAAAATGTGACTTTTTTAATATGGAGTAAAGTATACCATATGGAGTAAGTTCAAAGATCAAATCCATATCTATACCAACATTTTTTTACAAGACATAATAAGCCAAATCAAGATGAAATATACTAGAGACCCCAAAACTTTTATCAAATTTTCTACTTTATCAGCACATGGATCAGGCTTGCTAAACATACTCATATATGACACCACCAAAAATGATGCAGAAAAGATGCATCCAGGAAAACAAAAAAAAGGAAACCTCGCATAAACCATGAATCCTTTGAGAATGAGGAATGGACAAGGCAAAGAGGAAGCCACTAAAACCCACAATACAAAGTTCCATTGTTTCCTTCCTATTTTCCCCGCCACATTACAGTGTATTTGGTCGGTCCCCTTTTTTTAACTTTTTCCACTTTTTATATGCAGATTGGATTTATTGCACTCCCTCTCCACCTTTCCCTCCTCCTACCAAACAAAGGAAATTTCTCTTTACCTACCCCCTTTCCTTCCTCAGTCTTTCCTACCAAATGAAGCATGATGCCTATAAACTAATTAACTAGCAAACTTAAACCCATTTAATGGATTTTCATTTATAGCAAACCAGAGGTAGAAAAAAAAAAAACAGTTTCAAATGACATCTACCAAAAAACTGAGTACGCATGGGGATGATTACACAATGATTTAAACATTAAGTTACAGTCAGAAACCATTATCTATGTTTTTTAGATAGAACTGGAGTGTTCCAATTGACCACTTCAACTTCTTAGATATCAGCGCTTCAGTAGGGCTCTAGAAAAATGGATCCAAATTGCACACATCTTGTGAAGAAACTCAAAAATTTTGATCTACCACACACATTTATATTGAAAGCTGACAGTATGTTTTCTCTTTTATTTAATTATCTTTTTCTTCTTTTCTTTCTAAAGGTGAAGTGATGCTAAGGTTATTACAGACAATTAAAACCAAATTAAATTTTAATGGAAAAATCAACATGATAAATGAGGGTCAATCCACTGCTAATACCCAAATCCAAAATCACAACCTTGCCCAAAAACCCAAAAAATAAAATATACAAATAAAAGTATGACCAAATAGAAGATAGGCCTGGATTGAACCCACTGGCTCTGTTTACTTGAAGAGGCAAGCAATTCCATACTTTCCTTGGTTCCTACCAAATATATTTATATTTCACTCTATAAGGAAAAAAAAAAATCTCCAAAGAAATTCTCCAAATCCAGCTGGTGAGTCATTTGATTTGGATTGACCAACTAAATGTGAATATAAAAGTTCTGGCCACCAGCTGGACTGTTTCATAGATTCACAATAATTTTTTTAGAGCAATAACAAAAAGAAAGGGAGCGTTCTAAAGACAGGATCCCTTCAAATAAGAACTATACATGTTTTTAATAGTAAAAATACACACACACAATAAATAAATAAATAAATGGCCCTATTAAGTAAGGTTAGGTCTATTTGCTTTAGAAGTTAGATTTCTGCAATTCTAAATCATATTCTTTTTTTCGATTTTTTTATGATTATATAATTAGAATTTAGAGCTTAATGTCTTCAACATTTTTTTATCTTCCTTAACATTTCAAATGTACAACTAGCCTCTTTTTCAAATTACAAAATTTACATCTAGCAGGCATATCATAAAATTTCCCCTACTTGTCTTGTTTGAGCATATAACTTTTCCCTTATCTAATTAGCTTGTTTCAATGGTTTTGAATCAGCCAATCATAGATAACTTTATCTTGTGTACCTAAACTAAATTGTGTAGTGCTTTTTTATGTTAGTATAGATAACTCTTTATATAATATATTTAACTTTTTATTTTGTTTCATGGTACTTTAATTTAGTTAATTATCAATGGATAAAAGTTGGATGAAGAAGAGTAGATTGTCACAAGATTATGTGCAAACGATTAAAGAACATACAATTTTTTTTTACCCTTCCACAAATACAGCAGTGTAGCAAAAGGCAACACATCCCATATTTTCCTTTTCAAGATTCTAAATTTATACCCAATCCACCATTGTAACAGACCTCTTCCTCTTCCCATGCATTTTGTATAGAAATCTCCTTAGAAGTAGACAAAGAAAATAATATTGTGAGGTGTATATGAGCTTTTCCTATGGCTTATGTTCTTTAATATGTTTAGTATACTATGATAAATGCTCATTTAATTTGATTAATATCTTTGTTTTTGATTCATTGCATCTATTGTTTGTTTAACAGATATGGCAAATAAACGATTTCGAACTTGCAATATTGAGAATGAGTCACAGCTCAAGCGATCAAATGGCTCTTCATAACCTAGCCAACAAAATAATTCTTCACAGCTTAACTCACCAAGAGGAACTTCACAACCTAGTCAGAGTTCTGTACTTAGGAGGAATAACAGTTTACCCTTTCACAAATACAGCAGTGTAGCAAAAGGCAACACATCCCATATTTTCCTTTTCAAGATTCTAAATTTATACCCAATCCACCATTGTAACAGACCTCTTCCTCTTCCCATGCATTTTGTATAGAAATCTCCTTAGAAGTAGACAAAGAAAATAATATTGTGAGGTGTATATGAGCTTTTCCTATGGCTTATGTTCTTTAATATGTTTAGTATACTATGATAAATGCTCATTTAATTTGATTAATATCTTTGTTTTTGATTCATTGCATCTATTGTTTGTTTAACAGATATGGCAAATAAACGATTTCGAACTTGCAATATTGAGAATGAGTCACAGCTCAAGCGATCAAATGGCTCTTCATAACCTAGCCAACAAAATAATTCTTCACAGCTTAACTCACCAAGAGGAACTTCACAACCTAGTCAGAGTTCTGTACTTAAGAGGAATAGCAGAGGCGAGGTAGGCACATATTTAGATATAATTTCCTGGACATTAATAATTGTTAGTTGCTTACTTAAATGTACTGAGCCCTTTAGATGTCTTCACCCATATCTAATCATAGAAATCATCTCGCAGTGCTTAAAGAACAACAAGAACAAACTACACAAATTGAGAACAATTTGTTTCTTAAATCTTTACCCACCTTTAACACACTTTCGCATTACTGTATTTTTTTCTCCATTTGTTGCTCTTTTCTCTCTTAATGGTTGATCTCTCTTAATATGCAAATATGATCTTGAACTTTTTCATTGTAATGTTTATTTTTTGATATGTAAACCATATACTTATCACAAAAAAAAAAAAAAAGACTTGTCGAGAATTATTTGTAGTCTAAATTTTTTTTATAGACTATTCATGAAAATGATACTTATGCTCATTCAATCATTTTTATTGCAGGAAATAAGACAATATGGAAGCATCAAACAATGGACGCCATTTCTCGATTTGAGTACTATTGTCATGTGACAAGTTTATATGTACTTTTTAGATTATGGTGTGGCTATTAGTTTGTTAGAAATATTTGATCTATTTTGGTATGACAAGCTGATGTAATGAACCTTTTAATTAAGGTGTTTTGGATAATTTGGGATTATGAAAATGCAAATGCTTTCACCTTTTACAATTATTGAGTATTGAGCCATTAGTAAATATGTAATGTGAGCAGTGAGAGACAACTATTAATGGTTAGCAAACCATTGAAAATTTCAAGCTATATATTATTAGTAATTGAATAGTAAACATAGCCTATAATTGCTTTTAATAACTGTCGCTGTAAATAAAATTCAAAAAGAATTCTATGGCTATAGCGGTAGTGTAAAACTGATGGCATAGAGTCAAAATATAGTCGCGGTTCACAAAACGTCGCGAAAGTGAATGATATAGTAGCAGTCAACCCGTCGCTATAAAATTATCAAGTAATGGGTAAATTTAAGATATAGTGACATTTGTAACCGTCGCTACATCAAACGTCGCAAAAAAAATAACTATACCAGCGTTTGCCGAAAACGTCGCTATAAGGATATGCCGACGGGGCTATTGCGGCGGTTTGGTTGCTACTATTTCAACCGCAGGTAAAGGTCTTCTAGTTTTTAACAACACTTTTTCCTACTTTTAGCGACAGTTTTGGCCGCTGCTAAAAGTGAATTTTTTTGTAGTGTGGAAGATATTCAAATTTGTAATGATGGAGTGGAAGATATTTAAATTGATAATGATGGAAGTACAACGGCTATAAACGGCTATAAATTCAAATGACTACAAAGGCTATAAACGGCTATAAATTCAAATGAATACAATGGCTATAAACCATAAACGGCTATAATTTTCATTATATATACCAAAGCCTCTAATGTAAACAAGTTGACAAAAAACCTGGAAATATTCTTTGATTTATAATCACTCACATCTATTCTCAGAAATTATACACTGAGCCTTATAGTTTTAAGCCCATCTTTCCTGTGTGAGATTTATAGAAAAATCAAAGTTTCATTTTATATATCTATCTTTGAGAGATATTTATTGTAAGTTTTCTTTGAAAGCAAAAATACCATTTCATCTTGCAAAAGTGTTGTAAACACTGTGTTCTTGAAATCTTGAGAGTGATTGTGAATCACCTAAGATTTTCAAGGGTTTGGACTTGTGAAGTCTGTGTAAAATCCGTGGAGGATTACTCCATTTGTAAAGAGGTTGCTAGCACCGCTGTGAAGGTAGAAGATAGTGGAAAATCTCAAGTGAAACTTGAGGAGTGGACGTAGGCCAAGTTGAAACCGAACCACTATAAATTTGTTTGGCTCTCTCTTCCTTATCTCTTTATTTTATTTTAAATTGCCATAACTATATTTCACATTTTTACTGTGCCAAAATCATTAACTGACATAGTTGTTAAGGCACTTGTTTTAATTATTTTTATTTCATTAATTATATTTATCTATTGCGCTAGTTATAATTTTTATTACGGTATTATTAATTTTAATTATAAAAACCTAATTCATCCCCCCTCTTAGGTTGTCTTTTGAGTAACAATTGGTATCAGAGCCTAAACTCTTGTTTTAGATTTAACCGTCTAGGAGTTTCGATCCATGGCAACCTTAGCTGAAGGACAAGCCAGAAATAGGCCACCATTGTTTGACGGAAACAATTATAGTCATTGTAATGATAAGATAACCCTATACCTACAAGTCACTGATTATGCCCTGTGGATTATTGTCACCAAAGGTCCCAAAATTCCTACCAAATTAGCAGACAATATTAGTGTACCTAAAACTGAAGATGAATGTGATGAGAGAGATCATAAATTATTGCAAGCCAATGCTAAAGCCAAACTCATCCTTGTTTATGAATTAGACTTTAAGAAGTATAATAGAATTTCAAGTTGTGATTCGGCAAAAGAAATTTGGGACAAACTTGAGGTAACGTATAAAGGTACAAACCAAGTAAAGGAATCTCGTATTAATAGGCTTGTTCATAGTTATGAATTGTTTAAAATGAACTCTGATGAATCTATTTCAAGTATGTTTACTAGATTTACTGAAATTGTAAACTCTTTGAAATCTCTTGGCAAAATTTATACTAACAGTGAGTTGGTAAGAAAAATTCTTAGGTGTCTACCAAAGAATTGAGAAGCAAAGGTCACTGCCATTATAGAAGCCAAAGATCTCTCCACACTTAGATTGGATGAGCTTATGGGTTCCCTTATAAGTCATGAGATCATCATGAAAGGACATGAGGATGTTGAAGACAAAAAGAAAAGTGAAATTGCATTCAAAGCATCATCAAATGAAGAAGAACATGAAAACTCTAGTGAGGATGAAAGCTATGCCATGTTTAGTAGAAATCTCAAAAATCACTTCAAGAAAAACAATTATGGAGAAAGAAGACCATTCAAAAAGGAGTACAACAAAGACTACAAAAGAAACAAGAAGGCCATGGTAGCAGCTTGGGGAGAAAGTGAAGATGAAAGCTCAAGTGATGAAATTGAAAATGAAGAAGCCAACTTGTGTCTCATGGCTCTTGAAGATGAAGACTCTACTCAAGATGAGGTAACTACTCTTTATGAAGAACTTGAAAGTGCATTCCATGAACTAAAAAATGAATTTAGAAAAATTTGTGTCAAAAATAATGTGTTAAAAAATCTGTTGCATCTTTAACTAGTAATGTAGAAGAATTAAAGAAAGAAAAAATTGTTTTGAAAAATGATTTTGACACCATCTCTAATGAGAAAGCTGCATTAAAAAACAATGTTGATGATTTAACAAAAACACTTGAAAATTTTGTAAAAGGTAGAAATAATCTCAACATGCTTCTTGGAAATCAAAGATGTGTTTTCGATAAAGCAGGCATTGGATATGACCCTATTAAGAAACAAAAGAATCTTAATACAATTTTTAAAAAGGCACCTCTCATGACACACCCTCATATTACTTGTCTTTATTGTAGAAAGAAAGGTCACTATATATCTTATTGTCCATTTAAAAAGAATATGAACATGAGAATTAAAAAGATTTAGATTATTAAGAGATCTAACAAAACTAACCAAGAAGGACCCAAGAAACTATGGGTACCAAAAACCAACACTTGATTGTCATCTTGTAGGTTTGCCTTACGTTCAAAGCTAAAGAAGGGAAGTGGTATCTTGATAGTGAATGTTTCAGACACATGACCGGAGATAAATCCTTCTTTACTACACTGTCATCCAAAGATGGAGGCCTTGTTATTTTTGGAGACAACAAGAAAGGAAAAATCATCAGTATTGGTAGCATCGGTATTTCTCCTAACCCTTCAACTGAAACTGTTTTACTTGTTGATGGATTTAAGCATAACCTACTTAGTATTAGTTAATTATGTGATAAAGGTAATCGAGTTATTTTTGATAAATCACATTGCACAATTGAAAGCATAAATGATTATAAAGTTTTATTCGTTGATAATCGCCATAATAATGTTTATGTTTTTCATCTTAATAATCTCTATGCTAGTGATGTTAAATGTTTATATGTTAATAATGAAAATAGTTGGTTATGGCATAGAAGATTTGGTCATGTTCATATGGATTTAATTGCTAAATTTTTGAGAAAGGATTTGATCATTGGACTTCCAAAAAATAAATTTGAAGAAGATCATCTTTGTAATGCTTGTCAACAAGGAAAACAAACTAAAACATCATTTAAATCAAAATTTCATATTTCCACAACTAGACCTTTACAACTATTGCATATGGATTTATTTGGTCCCTCAAGGACATCTAGTTTAGGTAGTAAACGTTATTGTCTTGTTATTATTGATGATTATTCAAGATTTACATGGGTTATGTTTTTAGCACACAAAGATTAAACATTTTTTTCTTTCACAAAACTCTGTCGTAGAATTCAAAATGAAAAAAGTTTTCTTATTACTAATATATTAATTCTTTTTCGAGTCATATCTTTGTAGAATCAATTTTGATGTCATAGCATGTTTTTGAGATGTATACTATCTATATTTTGAATTGTACATTTATGATCTCAAGAATATGCTCAATATGAAAATTTCATACTTATATGCTTTATATTGGAATATTTGAATTAGTTATGAAATTTGTTGATTATGATGCATCAACAATGTCTAAATGAAAAGAAGTATCATACGTTTGTAGAGACATTGCATCTATCCTATTGAATATCTTTTGAATATGGATTATATTGGCATACATCTCATGAAATGCTGTTGATTGATAAATTGTTGAATTAATTGTTTATAACATTCATGTTGTGTTCCACATTAAGTAAAATGTTTTATCACACTTGAATATGTGGATTGAATTGATGAAAATGCCTCTTGATAATGTTATCTGATTAAATGAGATTGTTGCATCATTTCTTAATAAAACAAAGAGTATAACAATATTTTCTTTTACATATTATGCTATGTGCTACAACTTGAAAATTCTAAAAAATAGCATTCCAAACTCTTGTTTGATCATTGAATTATTTTTCACTTTTTGAGTTTGTGATAAGAAGTGATTTGTACTGTATTTTTATTGAGTAATAGTGTTTGTTCTATGAATACTATATTTACACAAATCACATTAGAAAAAGGTAGCACCAACTTAGGGGGATAAATCATTTTGCTAACATACTTGTTAAACCCTTTTGAGATGAACTCCTCATGAAAGAAAATTGAAAATTGAAAAGCGTCCATCTCTTGAACCTAACGTATGCCTCATATACTCTCTTAAGCTTTTGAGGTAAAAATTCTATATTATATCCTTTGAGCTAATACTGTTATTACGTTGATATGAAAAAGATTGATTATGCTTCATATGATTTGCAATGTATACTCTTTGATGATACTCTTGCCCAAAAATCATGCTTATGCTTAAAATATATGCTATATATTCATGATTTTTCTTGACATATGGATTGTTATACCTTGAACATACATCATTTTTTGGATTTACATTAGCTCCATGAGATTATATTGAGTTTAACCTATTTTAAACAATATTTGGTATTCTACATAATGCTTGAACTACGATTGTTAAATCTTCTAGATTGCATATTGGTATCCTTAGTAGATTACATGTTGGTATCATTTTGGCATCTTTATTGGTAACATTTGGCATCTTCTTTGATATTATTGAGGAGAACA